ACAGAGTCACTGTCAAAAAGAACTGGTTGATCCATTTCAGGAGGTAGCATATGATCAAGAACTGATGGTACTGAAGGAAGAAGTCAAAGCTGCACTGAAGGAATTGACAGAATACCCATTAGGATGTTTAAACAAATGGATGCCACACTGGAGGCACTTACTCATCTATGCCAAGAAATGTGCCAGCTGAATAGAAGAGATCCATATTTGTACCCATTCCAAAGAAAGGTGATCCCACAGAATGTGTAAATTATCAAATAATATCATTAATATCACATGCAAGTAAAATCTTACTGAAGGTAATTAAAAAAACGGTTACAGCACTAGGAACTTGACAGGTGTTCTGGTTACTTAGTGCCACTCTGACAAGAATATACCACAAATGGGATGGCCTTAAGAAACAGGAGTTTATTCTCTTACAGTTTAGGAGGCTAGAAGTCCAAGTTCAAAGTGCCAGGCTCTAGGGGCTGGGTGAAAGCCCCTCAACCTTGGGCTTCAGCTCTGCCTCCTGCTCCCGGCCCACTGAAGCTAGAGGCTTTTCTTCACTCAGACAGCTACTGGTTGCTGAGGCTAATAAGTCCAAGGTTGACAAATAAAATGGCACAGTCTTGAGGTTACCAAACCATATGGCAGACCATTAATTTAAGTCCACTGTAAGTCCCTAGGATGGCAGAGCATGGTAGGCTGCTGAATGACATGGCTACATGCAGGGTCCAAGCGTGCCATAGACTAGAGACCATGCCCAAAGCTGCTGCTTATATATGGGAAGCAGACCACATACCCAAAGCAGCTACTCAGCTGCTTGTGGTAGATCCCACCATGGAGTTGACTGCCAGGCTCATCATGGGGAATAACTACCACCAGCTGCCCAGCCACTCAACCAGGCCCAGCCAAGTTGATACACAAACATAACCACCACAACAGGGAACTTCCACAAATGTAAGCTGGATTCAGAAGAGGACATGGAATGAGGGATAGCACTGCTGATGTCAGATGGATGTTGGCTGAAAGCAAAGAATACCAGAAAGATGTTTACTTGCGTTTTATTGACTATACAAAAGCATTTGACTCTGTGGATCATAACAATTATGGATAATTCTAGAACACTTAATTGTGCTCATGAGGAACCTGTACATAGATCAGGAGGCTGTTGTTTGAACAGAATAAGGGGATACTGCATGGTTTAAAATCAGGAAGGGAGTGCATCAGAGTTGTATTCTTTCACCATCCTGATTCAACCTGTATGCTGAGCAAATAGTGTAAGAAGCTGGACTATACAAAGAATGTGGCATCAGGATTGGAGGAAGACTCATTAATAACCTGTATATGCAGATGACACAGCCTTGCTTGCTGAAAGTGAAGATGACTTGAAGCACTTACTGATGAAGATGAAAGACTACAGTCTGCACTATGGATTATATGCAACATAAAGAAAACAAAAATCCTCACCACTGGAGCAATAAGCAGCATCATGATAAATGGAGAAAATATTGAAGTTGTCCAAGATTTCATATTACGTTGGTCCACAATCAACACTGATGGAAGTAGCAGATGACGTACTGCAGTGGGCAAATGTGCTGCAAAAGACCTCTTTAAAGTGCCGAAGAGAAGAGATATCTCTTTGAAGACTAAGGTGTACCTAACCCAAGCCATGGTGTTTTCAATCACCTCATATGCATGTGAAAGCTTGACAATGAATAAGGAAGACGGAAGAAGAGTTGATGCTTTTGAGTTGTGGTGTTGGCGAAGAATACTGAGGGTACCATGGACTGTCAGAAGAACTAACAAATCTGTCCTGGAAGAAGTGCAGCCGGAATGCTCTCTGGAGGTGAGAATGGTCAGACTTTATCTGACCTACTTTGGTCATGCTGTCAGAACGGACTACTCCCTGGAGAAGAATATAATGCTTGGTAAAGTGGAGGGTAAGCAAAAAAGGAGAAAGCCCTCAATGAGATGGATTGACACAGTGGCTGCAGCACGGGCTCAGGTTTAGCAAAGACTGTGAGGGCTGGGTTGCTATGAGTTGGAGCTGACTTGACAGCACCTAACACCACCAATAACTCCGACCGGTACCCCCTTTTCCAGGGAGGAATCCCTGTCCTGGCCACCACCATACAAGCAATTACCTACATACCTAACAGACATCCTTTATTCTCCTCTCAAATCAAAATGATTACTACCATATCCTTTACTTTAGCTCTAAAGTCCTCTCCAGCTTGGTCTTGCTCAGGCCCTTATACCCCGAAGTTTGATCATTTAAGCACCTCCTCACTGGCCTTCTGTCCCCAGCACAAATCTTACCAAACTACTCTTCACATACATCTTCACTGGGCCCCCTCTGACCCTGAACTCAAGCCCCAGCCTACCTCTTCTGCCTCATCTTGGCTTCTTCCCCCTCCCACCCACAGCCCAGCCACATGGACTTACCTGCCTACCGTTCCCTGCTGTGCTGTACCTTCTCCCACGGCCACACCTCTGCATGTGCTGTGCTGTCTGGGAAGCCCTTGCCCACCCAACCCACTGACTGAACATCTAGTCTGTCTTCTAGACCTAGTTCAAGCCTCACTTTCTGGGAAGCCTTTCCGAATCCTCCCCAAGGTAAGGAACTCTTGTCTGGATTAAAGCACTAATTACACTGCTTATATAATGTGCCGTTTTTCCATTGCTGCACCCTCCACCTGCAGGACTGTGTCTGGCCTCTGTTGATGTGTCCTTCCCCCAGCACAGGGGGTGGCACAACGTGCCGATCAGTATCTAGCAAAATCCTTGCAGTTCACAGCTCAGCTGGCTGGGCTCTTTCAAGGAGGGGTGAGGGGCTGGAAGCTTTCTGTGGTGGTTATGTTTGTGTGTCACCTTAGCTGGGCCTGGCTGAGTGGCTGGCAGCTGGTGGTAGTTATTCCCCATGGTGAGCCTGGCAGTCAACTCCATGGTGGGATCTACCACAAGCAGCTGAGTAGCTGCTTTGGGTATGTGGTCTGCTTTCTGTACACAAGCAGCAGCTTTGGGAATGGTCTCCAGCAAATGGCATGCTTGGACCCTGCATGTAGCCGTGTTGCTGTTCAGCAGCCTGCCATGCTCTGCCGACCCTGGGACTTACAATGAACTTGAACTAATGGCCTGCTGTGTGGTTTAGTAACATCAGGACTGTGTCTTTTTACTTGTCAACCTTGAGTTTGTCAGCCTCAGCAGCCAGCAGCTGTCTGAGTGAAGAAACACCTCTAGCTCCAGTGGGCCGAGAGCAGGAGGCAGAGCTGGACCCCAAGGCTGAGGGGCTTTCACCCAGCCCCTAAAGCCTGGCACTTTGAACTTGGACTTCTAGCCTCCCAAACTGTAAGAAAATAAACTCCTGTTTGTTGAGGCCATCCCATTTGTGTTATATTCTTGTCAGAGCGGCACTAGGTAACCAGAACACCTTCTTAGCAGGTTCCCTGATCTCAGAGAAGCCAAAGGCTTGCAGTAGACTCCTGTCATTGTTTCTTACATCTGGTACCTGTGCCTTTCTAGAATTGCTCCTTCTTAACCTCTGGGGCTACCAACCATAAGGCTCTATCCTCTGTACCAGAGATGTGCGCAAGAAACCCAAGCAGAGCAGTCATAGTGGCCCAAGCCCACCCACCCTGTGATTGCTTCAAGGATGAGCAGGGCCCCAAGTAAGGTCAGGATGTATTAGAGTGGGTTTGAATCTTAGCTTCACCACTTACGAGCTGGGTGACTTTGAGCCAGTTGTTTAATTCTTTAAATCTGCAAAATGGGAAAATAAAAATGTCTACCCCATGTTGAAGGAGTAACTGAGTTAATATATGTGAAGTGCTTACAACAGTACCTGGCACAAAGGGAATGGTATTTATTATCCTTGTACTACTCTGTGGGGCAATCCCATCTGAGAACTAGTGAGAATGAGATACAGAACTCTGTTGTGTCACCGAGGTTCATGGATCCAGATGTGTGCCCGAAGCGTTCCATCTTTTTTGCCCTGCCTAGTTCCACAGGCCAATTAACTTTTTTTTTCCCCTTGTAAACCAAGTTTGAGTTGGGTCTCTGTAAGTTATAACGCAAGGGGACCTAATAATACTGGAGTGAAGTTGGAAAAATATAGGCGCCAGGAGCCTGGTGAACCTCTCAGTTTGTTGTGAGAGTTGGGCCAAAGCTTCCCTTCTCAAGCTCTAGTTCCTCATGTGTCTGACAGTGTGATCATGTCTCCTTGCTTCCCTTTCATGGCTGCTGTGAGAATCCATCTGTATGGTGGATATGACTTGAAAACTGTCAAATGCTAAAAAATAAAAACTCATCAATGGCTAACAATAGAGCTAGAAAAATCCCAACTCCTTAGCTTGGCATTTGCAGGGCCCTGCCCCATGTGGTCGGACTCCACCTTTTTGGCCTTCCCACTTAATGCAGTCCCCTCCCATATGCAAACCCTCTGCTTAGACTGCACTGGATTTCCCAAACACACCTTTGTGTCTTTGCTCGTTTTGTTCCCGTCACATGAAATGATTATGGCTCATCTCCACTGCCAACAAAATCCATTCTACCAAGGTCCATTCCGATAAAACCTTCCAGGAAGCCTTTTCTGATCTCTCCTCATGGCTCTCCCTTACCCATACACATATGCACACAGAGGAGCAAGAAGTGTCCTTTTTTCCTGTGAACTCATACCACTCCCTTTATTGAGGTTCAGAGAGTTCTTTACTTAGATTTCAATCTTTTGGAGGGCAGGGCCATCTGATTTGTATTCTCCATTGCACTTTACAGCAGGGATTCAGGGATGTGGGGGTACAGAGGATTACAGCTCCAATCAACAAAGGCCCAGGGAGAGAGCAGGTACCGAGCAAAAGAAATGGAGAATTTCTGCTCTTGCCTTGTTCAGCTCCCATCCCTACTGGAGGCATTACATGGGTTTAATAATAAATTCTGCACTGCTTAGTTACACTGAGCCAATGAGTGAATGCTGTTGTGTGGGTGAACAATAGAAAAGGCTGCTGACACCTGGAGAAACTTACCCAAGCCGGCATTTGCTGGAATCACCCAGTCTCCTGGTTTCACCCCAGTCACAATGCTGCCCACTGCTACCACCTGTCCAACACCTTCATTCCCTCCAACAGCAGGCAGTTTGGGAAGGAGGCCATAGTTTCCTAAGAGAAAAGGGCAACTAAGTTTGGACAGTGAAAGAGCATGGCCTTTGGCATCAGATAGACCTAAGCCTGATGGAAGCTCTCTCTGGCTGTGACTAACCTCTCTGAGCCTTAGCTTCCTCATGTCTCTAGTTGCTGGTGAGTTGATTCTGACTCATGACAACTGTATGCCAAAGAATTTTCAAGACTGTGACCTATTGGAAGCAAATTACCAGGCCTTTCTTCTGAGGTGCAGGCTGTGTGTGTGTTAGAACTGTCAGCCTTTTAGTTAGCAATCAAGTGCTTTAACCATTTATGTCACTCAGGGACTCCTCATCTATTGGAAAATCAAACCAAAACTAAGCTCACTGCCATCGAGTCAGATCTGATCTTAGCGACTCCTCCTTGGGTTTCTGAGGCGGTATCATTATGTAAATAGATTGCCCAACCTTCCTTCTGAGGAGTGGCTGGTGGGTTTGAACTGCCAGCCTTCTGGTTAGCAGTCAAATGCCTTAGGCTCTACACCACCAGAGCTCCTCATCAATTTGAAGGGAAGAATATTTCTTAGCATCCATGGTTTTGTACGAGGCTTAGATAAGATATGAAATGAAAGCAACATATCACAGACACTTCACAAAGGTCGGTTTAACCCCACCACAATCCTAACTCTCAAAAAGCCTCACATTCCAGAGACTGGAGGCCAGATAGGGCTGACACAGTCTGCAGACGGCTCATCTGGAGAACAGCTGCTGCTAATCACAGAAATTTCACACCCGCACCTGAGGAGGCATGAAAATGAGGGGGCAGCTAAGCAGAAAAGCCAATTAACATAATCCACAGAAACCAAGGTTACCTTGGATCATATTTATGTCAGATGGATTGATAGGGGCCGCCAGCATCTTCACATGGACGTCTGATCCGCCCACAGCAGCTAGCTCTAGGTCCTTCAGTCTAAGCACAAAGCCAAAAAGAGACGTTAATGTCATCCAGACTAGACAGGGCGTCTTTCACTCAAATCATCTCCCCAAAGTAGGTCAGGCAACAACATTTTTGAACTGCCATTGTGCGCCCAGTGTTCTGTTAGATAAGAGAGGTGCTGTAAGGAACCTGCCCAGGATACACATTAACTCTCTCATTACCTGCAAGTGGATATTCCCCAGTGACCTCGCAACCCCACTGCCCACTCTGAAACAGAAAATAGTTAAAAACCTTTATTGGCCTGGGTTGGCCTTGTTTCCATAAGAATCACCTGGTGTGCTTACTAAGAATAGATTCTCAGGCCCAGCCCGATCTACAGGATCTCCAGATAAGGGGTATTCCAGTTCTTATGAACACATGTATCTGGGACACTCAGGGCTAGCCCACTTATTATCCACTTTTTTTGGGGGGGGGGTATAACACATAGAGAGGAGACATTTCTGTCTGTTGCAAGAAATGGAAAGATGGTCTCCATAGTTTGTGAAGGACACCCTGGGTGACTGGGATTCACCCCTTGTAGTGATGTTCCTTCTGGGTGAAGATCCTGGTCTCTCTGGACAGAGCTGGGGGTCTTAGGTGTGAAACTCCACCACAGGATGGCTCTGTCACCTTGGGCAACTTTCCTCCTTGATCTGGGCCCATCTCTCTACAGGGAAAACAGCAGGATGGGGTAAGTAGTTTGGACTTGCTCACTTCTGAGACCCTCTTCCATTGTAAGTTTATGTGTTAATTCCCTTTTCTCATGGTGGGTCCTACACCCCATGGTACCAATATCTTTATCCCACTGGAACTTTGGTTAATGGGTAAAACCTTTTGAGGGAGGTCTACAGTGACTATGTCCATGTATTACTTTTGCAATTAAAAAAATTGTTTTAACAGTGACCTATTAACGAGGCAGTACTAATTAGTGGACTAGACTTGTGGGCCCTTGACCTTTTAATTACCAGAGATTCATTTTCTTTCTTTCTCCACACCCCTAAGACTATTTTTGTAATGCTTTAGCTGCCCAAATTTCTTAAGCAATAATTCTCTTCACTTTTACTTACCAAAGACACATATAATTGCCAACTAGAGGTTCTTAGCATGAGGCGACAGTGTCACTGCACTAAGGTGATGTAATTCCACCCACTTCCCGCAAAACTCTGACCTCTAATTATACCTGAGTCTTGATCTTGGGGTAAAAGTGTGATTTTCAAGAAATACTTTGTATTAATGGTAATAATGGTAGCAGGCATTTATTAGGTGCTTATCACATACCAAGTCCCATGCAAAGGGCTTTAAATCCATTATCTGACTTAGTGATGCAACACTTCTGTGAGGAAAGTAGAGACATCCCCCTTCTATCCAGCAGGAGTCTGCAGCTCCTGGAGGTGAGGAAACTCACCCAGGGTGAGATACCTGGTAAGAGGAGGGGGGTTATCTAATTCCAAAGCTGGCATTCTCGTTTGCTATGCTCTCTACACCAGCATCTTGAAATTAGTTTTGGGATTCCCCCTGACTGCCTACTAGGGGCCCCTGAGGATCTGGGGACCCCAAACTAGGATGAGGGTGGCCATGACTCACCATGATTGAAAATAGAAATAGACAAATTCTCTACAGAAAATGGCTAACTAGGAACGAGTTGTTGACCAGGGGCAGGGAGAAGAAAGAGCTTTTTAAAAGTTAAGTATTAAGGAATGTATGTGCTTATACACAGTCAAAGGAGAGAGTCCTTGTAGTAATAACTATGCCAAGTGCTGTGCATGCCAGCTTCCATTTAATCTTCAGATACTATTATTCTAATTCGGTACCTGAGAAACAAAGGCAACGGAAAGGTAAATAACTGGCTCAAGGTCACCAAAAGTAGTAAGTGGATGATCTGATTGAACCCTAGTAGTGAAACGCTAGAGAAGCCAGCTAGTGAGAGGCTGGCTCCAGACTAAGCAGCGGGCAGTGGAATGAACATCTACCTGGACTGGTGTTCGTGGTTGATCTGTGCTGGATCTGCCTTAAGGGGAGAGAGAGGGCGAGCTAACAGGCTCCCCCACCCCCCCAAGCAGGGAGGATTAGCCAGGACGGTGCTGGTGCTGTCTTTGTGAACGTATTTATACATAGGCCTGCATTCCAAAGAAAAATCCTGCTGAGAGCAAACGGATTTTGGAAGAGTTGCCTCCCTGTATTATCAGTACAGCTTCCCTCCTGCATTCTGACAGATAATCAGTTTTCCTATAAGCTAACAAAGTCCATGTGCTCAAGCAGCTTAAAGACATTTTTTTCCCCTATACATTTTCCACATTCTTCTTAGCCCAGAATTCCTTTTCTACAACTTCTCTACCCTCTGAGCAATTCAACTCACCCTTCAAGACTCAGCTCAAATTTTACTTCCTCTTAAGATGGCTTTTGACCCTCTTCCTGGCCCCAGCTCAAATTTTACTTCCTCTAAGATGCCTTTTGACCCTCTTCCTAGCCCTGGCAGGGGTTAAAAATGACTTGCTCCATCTTAGGTGCTCGCACTACACTGTCAGGAGGGGTGACATCTGACATGAGTTTATTGCTTTTTTTTTTTTTGAGCTGTACTGCTTTTTAATTTCTAATGTCTTTTCACGCTATTTTTTCAATTGATCATGACAAAACATAGGTTCACAATCCCTTTTCCAAAACGTTCGGGGCGATGTGCTCCAGAGCTCAGAACCATATGTTCTGTGCAGTGGGGGTTGGGTAGCATCCAGTAATCAGACACATTAATGTTTCTACACCAAAATGTATGCAATCACACTAAAGAGGGATGAATAAAGATTACATACAAACCTCATGTAAGATCAGGTTTTGCCTGCAAACGAGCTATGAAAAACGTTTCAGGGTTTTGTGAATTTTGGAATCTAGATACAAATTTGGATCTAGATCCAGATCTTTCAGATTCCAAGTTCAGTGCTTTTTATTTACCACCTAGTTTTTCTTTTTCATCATGGTGAGATTGCCCAACCTTCCTTCTGAGGAGTGGGTGCTGGGTTTGCCACCAAAGCTCCCTGGTAAATATAAACATATGTTGAAAAAAACAGCTGCTATTGAGTTGATTCTGACTCATGGTGACCCCATGCGTGTCAGGGCAGAACTGTGCTCCACAGACTTTTTAACGGCTGCTTTTTCATTGATCATCAGGATTTTCTTCTGAAGTGGCTGTGTGTGGACTCAAATGGCCAACCTTTTCAGTTAGCATCCCAGTGCATTAACTTTACAAAACCCAGGGACTCAAAAATATGTAACATTTACTATTTCAACAAAAATTTTATACAATTTAGTGACATTACATTTATTGTCGTAAAACCATCACCACTATCCATTTCCACATTTTCCCATCACCCTTAACACCAGCTTGGTGCCCTTGAGCAAAAATTTCCCTTTTCCCCCTCCCTTCCACCCCTGGAAAACACTCAGCTGTGGTCTCTCTGATTTGCCTATACTAGATATTTTACGTAAGCAGTATTTGTCCTTTTGTGACTGACTTTATTTCATCCAGTATGTTTTCCAGGTTCATCCATGTTGACTTATCTCCTAGCCAGTATGTCTGTGTTTCTCCCTGTTAGACTGTGAGCTCTCAGAGGGCAGAGAACTTCTAGTCTTCCTTAACTCATGTTTAGCACAGTGTCTCAGATCAAGACAACATTCAATAATGCTTCCTATACACATTAATTTTTCGGTCCAGTGAGAAAATGTGGCATAAAGTTGCCAGTCATGCAAGTTAGGGGAAGAGGCTGAAACCCAGGAGACTTGACTACTGCAGCTTGTACTGGTTCTCCCCGGTTCTGGGCTGCTTAGGGAAATAGCCCTGAAGGACAGACACAAATAAAAATGGAGAGTATCATCACAGGAGTTCAATCTAAGCAAAGGCCCATGTTTATTTTCCTCACAGCAAAGTGCAGATCACGTTTGCAGTAAGATTACACTTCTTAAAAATCTACATGTCCGTGGTTGAGAGAATACAGGTAAATCTGTCTGTAAATGGAGGCTAGTACACCAGAAAGAACATTAATTTGAAGTGAAACATGTAGTCCTGGGTTTAAATCCTGCTATGGTAATTTACCACATGGATGGGGCTCTGAATACCCATCTATAATATGGGGATAACACTGGAGCCCAGCTCACAGAAGCCAATGAGTTAATGCCCATAAAGCATTTACTATAGCACCTGACACACAGTGGATGCTGAAGAAATGACAGCTGTCATTAGTAGTTGGAATATTAAGGGAATCTTTGAAATAATTATCTGTCTGTACCTGAAAAGAATCACTGAAAGAAAACAACTGTTTGGAAAATTCAAGTGAATTTACCTCAGTAAATATTAAATTTGTCCTAGTAGGTGAGGTGCTGTGTTTAAAGAAGAATAAAAATATCTTGCTGGGAACTTGGTTGCATGGGAACTCACACAAGGAGACACTGGGAGAAGTGGTCTAACTGAAGCAGGTTCCTAGTGTAAAGCTGACTGCGAGTTGGAGGGAGAAAACATTCTTTGAAAGAAGTGATACCTCAGTTGTGGCTTGAAGGATAAGTAAGAGTTTACTATGTAGACTGATAGGAAGGTATTCCTGCCAAGAAGGAATGGCATATCATCGACTAGGCCTGGCAAGAGGTGTGGTCTGAATTGGACCTGTGGGAATACAGAGGGCTCAGTTACCTGGAATCTCTCAAAGAAGTGACATTGATGTCACTTGGTGACCAACTGCATTGCATGGAGGGGAGCAAGTGGGAAGTCTTTGGCTTGGGTAACTGGATATTGACAGGGAGCTGTGAAGAGTGGACCGGGAGTGCAGAGGAAGGTGATGTACTTGAAGTTCTAAGCAGGTGGCTGGCAGTATGCATACAGAGCAGGGGGCACTCTGGACATAGAGAGTTGAGTCAGTTGTATCTAGGTAGAGTCTATGTAAGTAAACTTGTTCTTGGTAATTTGGCTTGACAATTAAATGACAATACTAATGTTGATGGCTTACTACTAGATA